CCGTTAACGACTATATCAATCATGATAAAACTTGAGTGGACACGACGACGGCGTAGTATTTTTGACCCTTTGTCCCTTATCATCTCGCCGAGGCGGAATTTTCGTAGTTGCTTTTTTAGTCAGTAGTTGTTGTAGTTGTGAAGTAGTATAACAGTTAAAATAATACAGTTAACGTTATTCCAAGCTTCGAGTTCAATTTTCCAAACCGTTGAGTTTTGCAGTAATACCATATTTATAGTATTGCAAAGTTAACGCTCAACGTCATAGAGACATATTTCGAGATCGCTAATGAGAAACACAAATACCGCCGCCGCCGCCAACGTTGTTGTGACACGCAAATCTTATAATAAAAAAATTAAAAAAATACCGACGGCGTAACGTTCTCTTTTGCACATGCACGCCATGCGATCGTGACAATAATCTTCGACTAATCGTTTGCCGTTGTAATAATTCACTCGAAAACTTGAGCCACCGAGATACCGTCACTCTCGGCATTAAACGAAATCATAATACCCGCGTAACACCGGTAGTCAAGTTCTGCGGCCTTGGACGTCATTATCTACTAATTATGACACCTGCTGTATTATTCGTTTGAAACCGTTTCGACGCGCGTTCAATACAAATTACAATAGTACAATACACATAATGTATGTGTAATCGGTGCWATGAAATAAATGGTACAATATTATTATGCGTATATCACGGTCGACGGTATTGTTTTTGTTTTCCGAGCCAGCTACGACGTCGTCGTAATCGGTGGCGACGGCGGCGGCGATGGCCCGTAAGACCACTTGTTTCCAACGAGTCTATATAATGTGTGTTTTGCCATACACACCATTATAAATACATGTGTTTACGTGTGCGATTGCGCGATCGCATCGAAACACACGATGTGTATATTGACCACGTGTATTTCCGGTTAGGGTAACGACGATGGTGAAAAGGAACAACAGAGGCAGGACGAGCTGTCGCGACCATCGCCATCGCAACAGGACGGTGCCGACGAAAACGCCGACAAATCTTCGGCCGRAGACGACGGCCATGCCGACGACGAAGACGGTGGCTTACGGCGGTCACCCGCCAACCCCGACCATGGTATATTGACCACCAAGGACGGTACGCCGCTGATCCGGTTACGGAGTAAGAAATCCATTATGGAATCAAGGTTCAAGCTCACCATGCGCACGTGGGACGACGTCTGGAAGTCGACGGCTTGGGCCAAGTTTGCGCCGGACAAGCTGAAGCACACATTGCAGAGGTCGGCCCGGAATCAAGGAGAGTTGAAAGCCGGCGGTGACGCGATATCGAAGAAGCCGACCGCCACGGCAACTGCTATGGCCGCGGCCGGAACTACTGCGACCGCGGTGCCGGTCAAGAAAAGCCGGTTCAGAGTGCAGCACGTTCAGATTGACGACCAGCCGTCAGTGATGGTGTCCTCAACCAAACGGTCCCCTAAACCGCCACTGTCTTCGTCAAGTGGCAGCAGCGACACGGACAGCGATCGACTGCCGGCCGGCCTGCCGATGATCGAGAGTAATCTCAACGAGCTGACCATGGTTGAGTCACAGCTGAAGAAGCTAGAAAGAGAGCACGAGGCCAAGCACCAGCTACTGACTCCCAAGAACGACTGCGCGGTCGAAAAGACGGGGTCGACGGCCGACGATGGTGGCCACAAACAGCAGCACCAGCAGCAGCGGGCCATTGGTGGAAACGGCAGCGGTGGTGACGGAAAAAAAGACAAAGTGGGCTCCAGGGCCGCGGAAACCCATTCTAAGCGGTTGGGTTGGCTGAAGGCGTTCCGACGCAAGTCTTCGGCCGACACTAGTTCGGACACCGGCACCAACCCACCGGCGGCACAACATACGGCCAAGCCGGTCAAACACAAGCAGCAGGCGGCAGCGACCAAATCGTCTGCCGCCGGTAGACAGTCGTCGTCACCCAGACAGCAACAGAAACATCGCGCATCCTCGACCGCTGGCACCAACAGGCCAAGACAACAACAACGATCAACGGCAGTGCCGTCCACCGCGACACCGGTAAGCCACAGGAAAGAATTGGCGCGACAAAAAATAATTGGTTTTTTATTTCGGGTTTCGTGCGGGCGCGCGCGCGTGTATCGAAATATCTATTTATTCATTTAAATCAATAAAGACTAAAATGCTATGGTTTTCATCATCCCCCTGCTGTAGCTCGCGTGTTTCTCCAATATCAAAAACGTGACACGGTATGGGGGGCGACTCGGTGGTCGGTCGATGATGGTAGAGCGAATGGGATACGTGGAAATTAGATGTACGTCACTGCCACCAATGTTGCGCAACCGTACGTTTTGATTACAAGTAATGCAATTTACAACACTTCGTTAAGCTCTTGCCACCATCCCTCTCCGCCCCATCTCGGTGGTTTAGAGGTCTGTCGTAGGTTTCGATCGACCTGCACTGATGGTTGACAGGACAGGTGGCGGACGAGTAGCGGTCGTCTAGTGCTGGTCTTATTAATTATGACATTGAGTGGCGACGGCGTCCAGATAACGAATTGATAATATTACTGTCGTAGTTTCGTGTACCTTGTTTTTGCCCTCTTATCGTTCACTCGTGTAAATAATGCAGATACATAAAGAGTGGACTACTATCGGCTTTGTAAACCCGTTTATTACATGGCAACATGGGACGGACCCTATGGTGGTGCATTACGAAATCCCTCTCTCGAGTGTTGTTGTTGTTCTCGTCGGGTAGCTCGAAAAATATAAAATACGGAAATTGAGAGAGCGCTGCAGTGCCTAAAATAAACAACGTGCAACGTACGTTCATGTGTGTTGCATTTAAAACGTGTCGCATACTAATCGGCCTCGCAAAGATAATATAATATTTATTGACCTTTATAAACGAGAATCTAGGCAATAACTGATAATATTTTGAAAAAAATATATCATTAATGTGTTTTTACGGTAAACACATTATTACTATTGTGAATGTTAGACCTCGGGCGGCGAGATTAGACATAGTTAACGCTACAAATATCTGTTTTTGATATCGTCCGTCGTAGGTGAAACATTTCCCAGTATCACGTTTTATCCATAACCGCGCGGATGGATGACGACGAGTGTGATAGAATTGCGGTTTTTTGCGTTGCCCGTCCCAAATGTTTTGACGGGCACCGAACGAACACAACACGTGTTAACCGCTAGCAACGAATATAATATTATTTATCTTAATCTGATGAGTTCTGGCACCGAAGATGAAGAAGAAGTTGGATTGATTTTTATTAGTACATATGACTTGTGTGTTGTTTTGTGGCGAGTGCCTGCGCGTGTGTGCGCGCGTGAGTTATGCCGGCTACCGAGGCGTGTGTGTGTGTGTGTGTGTGTGTGTTTGTAGTATGTATACTGGCCTGTGCCCATATTGATTATGTAAAATCGTAATAATAACATACTTATTACTTATACCACACGCATATCGTGAGCGTACGTGCGTGCGTGCGTCCACGTGTGTGTACATTCTCTTGACGTTGGCAACCAATGTCTAAAATCTAGTTGTGCACGTAAATATTTAAAATATTATAATATTTTATTTTTCTCTTGGCGATTATTATTGATATCAATTATTTTTATTATTATTATTTGTTATGAAGCATGGTGATAAATTATCGTCTCCGTTGGACGATTTTCGACAAACGATAGCCGTCATTTCTGCCACACAATGCGCCGTTAAATTAGTCACGACCGTTTTTTCCCCTAAAATGTTCTCAAAAACTATTTCTAGAAATAGATATTACACCTGCGTGTGCGTGCGCGCGCTACCGAGTTTTTCGCTGCGTCCGTAGTCGTCGCGGTGGTGACGCCCGTCATATCGCAATCGTGTGTGTGCGGTGCGCGCCGCGCTCCGATTATAGGTAAAACAGGGATACCACGATTGCGTTTGGCAATCGGAAAGGGGAGAAGTTTTTATTTTTGGCACACGTCGCCACAACTATAATAATTTTATAATATTACACACACGGATCGTACGTACGGCGGGCGTGTCGCTGACCACCGCGCAACGACGACAACGTCGGTGGCGTTTTTTATTCTGTGCCTCGACGACACAATATTAATAATATATTCGACGACACGGGCACTGCACACTACGTAACAATATTAATATGATATAATATATTACCGTTTCAGCCAAGTTGTGTAATCGTGTTTTAAACTTTTAAAGGTCTTTAATGCCATTACGCGTTTGTGTTCGGCGAACAACAACGACGTTTGTCGCGCGCGGTCGGTCGCCTTTCAATCAAAAGCACTCATTCGCTTTGCCGCCGCGCCGCGCCACGCAGTCGTTGTCGTTTTAAGTGCGCGCGAGTCGCACAAAGTTGTACTTTTTTTTTATTGCCCATTCGAAACATCCGCTCAATTTAAATTGCATTAAACCCTTAGTCAAAGGTTGCCGGCGGCCGCGGTTTGTTGAGTCATCGCACGTGAAAACACGTTAGGTGAGCTGCAATGATATTTTAGTAGGCCAGTGCAGCAATGTTGCAATGCATTAGCCGCACGTATGCACCACATAACACAATAAATAATAATATTAGAGGTATATCATATACGATTATTGCTGTGTTTATTATTATTATTATTGCGTTCTAAGCATTGTCGATTGTCGTCGTTTTCCGTCAAGGTCATCGCAGCCACGCATCATTAAAAATACAAAAACATGATAATAACGATTTGAATAATATTTAAACGGACTAAACTGCGCCTTACTGAGCGCCKGAGACGTTTTCTGCATACCTATAATTTTTTACTCAACCAACGGTTAGGTCGATGGGGGTCATAGTAATAATTATAATATTACGTGTGTGAGTGTGAATGGTCGGAGGGGGTGAGTGAGGAATTTGCGCGTGGTCCTCTAATCTAGTCTGGGCGAATGCATTGGTTTTTCTCTAAAATACTCCTTTTATACGACGTTGTAGTGTTGTGCGACAATGCGCGGCGTGCGACCGGTTTTCGGGCGGCGGGTATTATTAACGACTTGACTGGTTTTCGTGAATTGTATGTATGAGTTTATTATAATATTATTACATCATGCATTTTAATATTTTCGCGTGCGGTCGACTCGTCTGCTTAACGTATAATAATGGTTTTTTTTTTATACATCTTTGATTTCCGCCTCGGACGTCGCAGGTATAACATGGTATAATATTATTGTTGAACGCAATGATACTGTTATGCTCGTCACCATTGCACGATTGCATCGTCTTGGATGCCCTTTACATTTTTGTTGCTTTAGAGAATGAAACATTAATAATATAACGTGCATTCTGCTATTAGTCCGGAAAAGAATGAACGTCGCATAATTTTTATTAGCGCGCTCGGTGTCGCATCACGTTTGTATGATTAATACAAATTCAAAAAAATTAAAACTTTTATCACCATTATGTCATCCGTTTTTTGTTCTCATATACGTCGAGCACTTAATTTTATTTTTGTAGACCTTTAAATTTATTTTTTATTTTTATTTCGTTTAAGTATCATTATACTCTGTTAATATGCCGTGTTCAAGTATAATATTATAGTACCTATGGTAAATAGTTGCGACTCGACACTATTGGAATGTGCAATATTAATATTTCTTTTTTACGTTTGAATATTCTCATTTCTTAATGTGTATGGTTGAAAACGGAATTAAAATAAAAACGTATGTTGCCTGGTTATTATATTATACCATCGCCATGAAAACAATTCACAGGTGTATATTGTTTTTTTTCTCCTTTAGATTCTCGCAGAATAATGTAAAAAATAAAATAATTTTCATATTCTTTAAACAAGCAAAAGTATATAGAATTATATGGGTATTATTATGGGCAGTCTGTTGCAATTTTTGACCTAGTAAATCTCCAGATTTACTTTTTCATAATGCGTCATTTATAATAATGAATATTGATTGTTTGATAATAACTAACAGTTTCAACTTTGCGTTTTGAAAGTTTTTAATTTTAATACATAACCACATAGGTGTATATTATGTTGTTCTATAAAACGTTTTAAATCTTAACTTTCATAATATTTTATTAAACAAGATCAAAATATGTATTAAACACAGACTACGGTCTTACGATACTTTTTTTTCAATTCGTATGATTTTTGCTTTTAATGTTACACTTTGTAATTTAAACCACATATAATCATCTCGGTTAATTGGTTGTAAATTATAATTAATCGAATACTGGGCTAAGGAATTACTTGAACTGCTTGTAAATTTACTTGTATTTAAGTATCGTGTATTTGACAGAATTAATTGACATGTTGGGACTACTAATATTGATTATCATAATATTTTCAACACATTGAACAGTTAATAAAAAAAAAAGATTTTTTAATACATCCACTCATAGTTCAGGGTCAATTAATGTTATCGAATATAACGTGTTAACATAATATATGTGCAAAGTGCATATTTGTTTTGCCAGCCGATTATAAATTGGATTAAAAGAGATGAATTACGCCCGTGTTTTTCATTATTTAATTTTACTACATTGTTATTATTGAGGTTGGCCTCGTGCTCCCGTCGAATACAATTTGGGGATAAAACGATAATTAAATTTCAAATTTAATCGAACAGAAAACGTATATGAATTTTTACTATACATATTGTATAATAGGATTTAACCGGACTATAGTTTATTAGTGTATAAATGACTAGTTGTTTAGCTTGAATAAATCCATGAATTTACGTCAATAGATGGAAAGACAATTTTCAACAATTATTTAATTATTATTTCAACAATTCCGTTGTATATTATACTTTATATTCTAATTTAAGTTGACGAGTGTTGTGCACGATAGCGTGAAACCTATGAAGTATATTCTCACGAAATTAAATGTCTAAAAATATCAATCAATTAATGCACACAGACACAGTATCATTGAGTGTAAATGAGATCTGTGGCTTGATTAAAACTCCACTAAACTGTTTTATGGCTCATTTGTTACCTAACTGTCAAACTGTAGGGCGGTGGAGAATGTGAAATATCCTTGAGTTATTATTTATTCCTGGGTATT